TATTTTTTAATAAATAAAAACCAATGATTGTTGCCTAAATCAAAAATAGAAATTTTATAAGAGATTGATATGAGCTTGAGCCTCAACTATTTCAACTAAACAGCTTTGCTTACTAAATCAATTCCTAAACTATTTCTAATCGTCTTAGAACAAGGGAGCCTAGAAATGTTTTGTGTTCACATTTCGTTCGAGTCGAGCCCACTGTGCCATCGGCATCTTAGTTAGTTGAGAGCCCGGGGCAACGTGATGCTTAAATTAAATTTTGTATGCACAAAGTTGCGCAGTTTATCGCCGATCGAACGAGGCCACATGGCGCCCCCTGCTCCACGGCGACCGCTAAGCGTTGATTAAGCGTTTATTAAAAGAGAATTACGGGCCGGGGGCCAAACAGGACAAGAGTACCAAAGTGGAGCAGGGGGAACAGGAGTAAACTTGGCCAACACGGCATCGAGTGCTTAACATCGGATTTCTTTTAAATTTGTGCGTCCACTGTCAGTTAGCGTCTGGCTGAGCAATCATTGGCCACTCACCTCATCCGTGGCAGCAAACTGGGCCAGGCGCTCCCTCTCGCTGTCTCGCTCAAACTCGCTGTGCTGGCGTGGCATATCGTAGTCCCGGTCCCGGTCCCGGTCCCTCTCCCGCTCCCGCTGTCTATCTCTATCCCGTTCGTGATGATTATCGGTGCGGCCTCGGGTGTCGTCGCGGTCGGCTGGTGCCGCAATGAGTCCATCGCCGGTGGCGTGGTAAACAATTTCAAAGCCAGTGAGGCCCAAATGGTCGCGACTCTGCCAGGAGACGACCACCGAATATGGCTGTATGTCCTGTATGGCCATTTTGGGTATTAATGGGGCATCACAGAATTGCTGCGGCTCCATGCGGCCAAACACCTTGCCGCGCAGTTCCGTCGGGTGTTCGCACCTCAGATAATTAATGTTATCACCGCCCGTTGGCGATAGCGACCATTTGCGATGATCCCGCAGCCATTCCCAGAGCTTTTGTGCATCACAGCTGCAATGCAGTGGATTCTCTATATATGTGTGCGTGTGTGTGAGTGTGCGCGCGAGTGTGCGTGAACGAAACACAAATGAAAATGCCATCAGAGTAAGCACCAAATTAGCTAAAGGACTGTGAATTTACGGCTGGTTAAACGCCGCTGCAGCCCCAGCCGCAATTGCACTCGATACTCACCCTCCAGCTTCAGTGTGCGCAGATTCGTTTCGAGCGGCCTCAGCGGCTCCAGCGGCACCAGCTCAAAGTAGTTCTTGCGCAGATCGAGCAGATGCAGCTTCCGCAAGTAGCGGAAGGCGTCGTTGGACAGCGCCGTCATCCGGTTGCCCATGAGCAGCAGCTCGACGAGTCCGTGCAGGTTGCGGAAGGTCTTCTTGGAGATGCGATCCAGCTGATTGAAGCTGAGGTCCAGCGTCTGCAGCTGGCCCAGCTCGCTGCTGAACTCGTCCAGATCCTTGAGCGTGTTGTGGGATATGTTGAGCAGGCGCAGGAGGCGAAGTCCCTGCAGGCGCTCCTTGGGCAGCATCTCCAGCTCGTTGACGCTGATGTCCAGGGTGAGCAGATTCACGAGCGACTTGAAGGCGCCGGGCGAGATGCGTGTGATGCGATTGTTGACCAAATGCAGATGCTGCAGTGCCTGGAAGGCTTCAAAGTCCTTGGACGTGAGTATGGAGAGGTTCGTCTGGCAGATGTAGAGCTCCTTGAGGTAGAGATAACGCTCCTCCTTCACCGTATAGATCTTGTTGATGGGATTGCCGGTCAGATTGAGCCAGGACAGGCGCGGTATAGACACGTCCGACAGCGCCGAGCTGGGTATCTGCAGGAACCGATTGCTGGACAAGTCGACGCGCTGCAGATTGATCGAGTGCCGCAGAAAGTTGGCCGGCAGCGAGAGCAGCAGATTGCCACTGAGATCCACGTTGTCCAGTTGGGTTAGGTTGACCGCATTGAAGCCGCTCAGCGAGCTGATCTTGTTGTCGCGCAGCACCAGCTGGCGCAGATTGAGGGTGCCGCTCAGCTTGAAGAAGTCAATGGAGTTGAGTTGGTTTTTGGCCAGATCCAGTGTCTCCAGCGTGCTCAGATTGTAGAGGGCGATGTGCGGGAACTCGACGAGATTGTTGCGGCACAGACGCAGCTCCTTGAACACGTTCAGGCCGCTGAAGATGTTGCGGTTCATCTCGGTCAGCTGATTGTCGCACAGATCGATGCGCACCAGGTTCGTGTTCTTGGCAAACAGCTGGTCGGGTATGCTGCTCAGGCTGCAGTTGGCCATGGAGAGCTGCTGCAGGGAGCGCAGCTTGTCGAACATGCCCGACATGATGCCGCCAACGGCGCCGCCAATGCCCACATGGCTGAAGTTGTTGTGCGAGAGATGCAGTCGCCGCAGGCTGGGCACGTCGAGCTTCTGTATGTCCGCCGGATTGAGCTGATTGCGCTCCAGATTGAGCTCATTCAGATTCTGCATGGACTTGAACGTGTGCTGCTCCAGCTTGCGCAGCGAGGTGTTGCGCAGATTGAGCGTGCTCAGGGGCAGCTCGTCCATAAATATGTCGCGTGTCAGCTGCACCAGCGGATTGTGGGAGAGATCCAGGGACTTGAGCTGCTTCAGCCGGCTGAAGGCGTAGCCCTCGATGGCCTCGATCTGATTGTTGGCCAGACTGAGCTCCTCCAGGCTGTGCAACGTGGAGAAGTAGTCGCGCCGCAGCTGACGCAGCTGATTGCCGCTCAGGTCGAGGAACTTGAGCAGACCCAGACTGACGAAGGTGTCCTTCTCGATCTCGCGTATCCGATTGTTGCTCAGATAGAGCCGGCCCAGGTGCGGCGTGTCCACGAACAGCGATCGGTCGATCTTCACCAGCTGATTGTCGCGCAGCCACATGATCTGAATGCGCTGCTGCTGCCGGAACGTGCGCTGGTGGATCTTGTGCAGATAGTTCGCCTCCAGCTGAATGGAGAGCAGCGAGGAGTTCTGCTCCGGAAAGATGTCCTCCAGCATGGTCAGCTGATTGTCCTGCAGATTGATGTGCTGCATGTTGGCCAAGGTATGGAAGGCGCCCGGCTCAATGTCCTCGATGTTGTTCTTCTGGATGTGCAGCTCCTGCAGCGCCGGCAGCGGCTCGAAGACGCCCTTCCGCACGCGGCGAATGCGATTGTTGTGCAGCCGCACCTCGCGCAGCTGCTCCAGCTTGCGGAACATGCCGATCTCCAGGTCCTGGATCTCATTGTTGTCCAGCGACAGCGACGACAGCTTCGTGCACTTATCGAAGAGGGTGACGGGCACCAGGGGAATGAAGTTGGAGCGCAAATACAAGTGATCCAAGTTGGCCAAGGTGCTGAACACATTGGGATCGATGTGGGCAATGCCATTCGACTCCAAGTAGATGACATCCACATTGGTCGAATTGGTGAACGCATCCGCGGGCAGCTCCAGTATATTGTTCTCGGAGAGGAACACCTCGCGCAGCTGCGGCAGGTTGGAGAAGACCCCACCGATGGCGTGTATGTGGTTGTGGCTGAGGTCGACTGTCTGCAGGCGTTTGTTCTTGTCGAAGACCTTCGGATCGAGCGTGATGATGCGATTGTGCGACATGTCCAGCGACATCAGCTCCTTGAGGCTCCTGAAGGCCTCCGGCTGCACGATCTCAATCTGGTTGGCATAGAACGACAGCGTCTTCAGCTGGGGAAAGGCGCGAAAGCAGTCGTGCGCGATCTCGCTGAACTGATTCGAGCTCAGATCCAGCAGGATCAGCGAGGGTAGCTGCAGAGCGGCTGCCGTTGCCGCTGCCGCCGAGGCGTTGTTCGTGGCCAGCTGAATGTCGCCGTAGAAGGTGGAGATCTTGTTGTTGGATAGCCGCAGGATGCGCAGGTGATCCAGCTTGCGCAGCGCCATCATCGGAAATGTGCGCAGGCCGTTCTCCGACACGTCAATCTCCTGCATGCAGTCCTCCAGTCCGGCGAAGCCATGCTCCGGTATGGTCTGCAGCCGGTTGCCCTTGATGTTCAGCTTGGACACGCGCAGCCCATAGAAGCTGTAGTCCTCGATGCGCACAATCTCGTTGTAGTCAAAGTCCAGCGCGGTCAGCTTCTGCATGGAGCTGAGGGCCCGAGAGGGTAGCTGTGAGAAGAGAGAAGAGAGATGAAGTTTCAATTAGGGTTGAATGAATTTATAAGCATGTTAGAGAATGTAGGTTAGCTCTTAGCTTTAAGTGAAGTACAACCTTTTATTATATTTATGTATATCGATAAGGATATTCTTAAGGAGCGTAGTGAGGTAATTCGCTTTGGCTACACGCATTTGTTTGCCTATATGAGGCAGACGAAGGAGAGCTACAGAAGATCATTTAAGTTATTTTTTTATTTGGTATTTGTATTTAAGAGAGTTCTTTAAGCAGTAGAGAGTTTTCCCATTGGTCCCTTAAGGTTTGACTGCAACGACCTCTACCTGGCACCGGCCTCAACATTTGAGCACGACTTGGTGCTTGAGTGAGAGGCGCCCTATATAAAGGGCAGCTACTGCAGCATTTCTTCAGTCGCCCAGGCCTGGTGGGGGTCTGTTATATAGTGCAGTAAAGTAACTGAAGTGAGGTGAACTGAACTGAAGTGAGGTGAACTGAGGTGAGGTGAACTGAAATGAAGTGAGGTGAACTGAACTGAAGTGAGGTAAACTGAAGTGAGGTGAACTGAAGTGAGCTGAACTGAAGTAAGGTGAACTGAGGTGAGGTGAACTGAAGTGAGGTGAACTGAAGTGGGCCTAAATGTTGAGTGATCGTTCAGCGAAGCATTAAAGACTAGGAGAAGCTACTTGGAGGAAATACTTGGAGAAAATGCTTAGAGGAAATACCTAAAGGAAATATTTAGGCTAAAAACTTAGAGGAAATACTTGGAGAAAGTACTTGGAGAAACTATTCGAAGAAAGGAGGAAAGAGAAGGAGCAATCACTTAACTTAATTATTTCATTTCAAGTATTCAAAGTAGTCAGATAGAGTACTCTGAGTCAGCTGATACTCTGATTAATTTCTGTTATTTATCATTTGCCTAATTAAATGCGGCTTTAATTGAATTTAGTTTAATACGTATTTTCATTTATTGAAAATATAATTTTTTTTTTTTCTAATTTTTTTCTAATTTGAATTGCAAATGTCAAAGGTAAAATTTTGACATTTTGCATGCATATCAATGCGGAGCTTTTTCTATATAACGAGCCCAACTAATTACATAAAAGCAAATTAATGTCAAGCGAAACTTAGCAAAATTGCGTCAGTTTGCGGTTCAACTGTTATGCAATATTTTGCATTTATAAAATATTTACGTTCGTTTTGAATTTTTTTTTTATTATT